CCACATTGCAGACTCCATGCTGGCCTCCAGGTGCACCAGCCAGGGACCCTCCTGGCCTCCCCAAAGGTCAGCTACAGGTGCAGAGCCACACTGCTGGGCTGTGGCCTCCTCCTGGAAGAGGCACAGCAGAGGTGAGCCCTGGAATGGGGGGCCCTACTCCTCGACCAGAGCTAGGTTTTCTAGACAGCTGAGCCTCCTGCAGCCCACTGAGAGAGGCGGGCACCACAGGGCACCCCTGCTGCCCCCCAACAATGCACATTGGGAGCCAGTGCTCCTGTGGGCCAGGATTAAGGGGGCTGGGCCAGCCCTGCTGACAGCTGTAACTTTCAGCAGCCAGGAAAGCTAAGCCAGGCCCATATCAGCTCATTGCTGTCCCAGGCACACAGCCCCAGGAGTTGTGTGAGAGGAGAAAAGCTGCCCACACACTCCACCATTGTCCTCGACACTGCCATGGTGCCCTGCACTGGGGCCACCCTCGGAGGCTCCCTCTGGTGCCCACGGCCATAGACGGGAGCAAGATTAGGCAGCTGTTCTCTGTCCAGACGGCTGCCGGCTGTGTGGGGACATGTGCTTGCACAGCTGAAGGGAGCCAGGTGTCTCAGGCCCACCGTGAGGCCTGGGCACCACCAGCCCAGGGGCACAGTGCTGGCCCTTCTGCTCCATCCACCTGCCTCCTCATGCCAACCTCCGCCCCAGGGTCTCGGCCAGGGGTCCTGGGAGAATCCCCACTCCTTCACAGGCAGGAAGCCAGACCCTCCTCCTGCCACCCTTCCACCCTCTTGGTCCCTGGAGCTCCCTCCCTGGCCTGACTACCCGTACCCTCCCCAGGACCTCGCCGTTGGCCCACTGCCCGGTGGCCTCCCGGACCTATTGCTATGAAGTCTCATCCACAGGGCTACTCCAAGGGACCTCAAGGGGCTGCCCGAACCCTGTGGACAAGGTCCCTTATCCGGGTCCTCACTCTTGGGCAGGCCTGACCCCTCCTGACCCTCTGGAGCACGCTCTGTTCCCTGTGGCGTCTCCCTCTAATGGTGGACCTAAGGTTTTGTGGGACTAGTCTGGGCATGGTTGCCTGACTGACTCCCTAGCCCCTGCCTGCTCAGTCCACTGCCCCTCCAGCCTGGCCTCCAGCCAGGAGATACCAGGACACCTCCCTCTCTGCCAGCCCCTCGCCAGCCCCACACACAGCCACCTCCAGGATAGTGGCCCCTCCAGAGGGCAGCTTCCTGTCCCCAGACAGCCATCTGATCCTGGTTCCCCCACACAGCCAGCCAGCCCTTGGGAGCAGCAGGTAAGAGACAGCACCAGGCTCTCCTCTGCTCACAAAGCCAGAACACACCAGGAGCGCTTACAACTCAGCAGCACCAATCCGGCCGAAGTTCTGCAAAGGTACTCAACAGACGTCTCTCCAGAGGTGTCCCAGTGGCCTATACACATGAAAAGATGTTCGGCAGCACCCATCACCAAGGAAACACAAATTAAACCACAGTGAGATACCAGCTCATGCCCACCAGGATGCCTAGAATAAAGGCAAAATGGAAGGGCAGAAGTAACAAGCACTGGGCACAGCTTGGGGTGGAAAATGGTACAGCTGCTGTGAAAACAGTGTGATCGTTCCTCAAAAAGTCAGACGTAGCACCACGTGACCCAGCAGTGCCCCTTTGGGGTATGTATCCAGAGAAAGTGAAAAGCCTGCACACCCATGTTCACAGCAGCCAAAGGCAGAGACAACCAGTGGATGGACGGATCCCAACAACACTGTGTGCATGTCCATCCAACCAGATACCATCCAGCCACAAAAAGGAAGGAAGCCCTGATCTATGCCACGGCGTGGGCAAGCCCTGGGGACATTATGCTCATGAGAAGCCAGACATGAAAGGCCACACGTTGTGTGATTCCACTTGTACGAAAAATCCAGAACAGGCAAACCAGGAGAGACACAAAGTGGATTAGTGGTTGCTGGGGGGCTGGGAAGGGGGTGAGATACGAGGTTTGGGGAGTGATGAAAATGTTCTGGAATTAGATAGCAGTGCTGGCTGCACAGCCTTGTGGGTGTGCTAAAGAACCACCGAGCTGTATGCTCTTAGCAGCATATAGGATATGAGTTGTTTCAGTAACAGAACTATGGCCCATGGCCTCTTGCCCACTTGGCCTCATTCATGTAACCCTGACTGCCTTTCATTCGCACTCCAGGCACCCCTCACATGCCTGGTGTGGAGAGCCTTTAGGTGCCATGCCTGGTGGTGCCTCCTCCATGCAGGCCTCCAGGGACCAGGAGGCAGGGTCTGCTCCCCTAGGCCAGCCTGCAAATGTCAAGCCAGCCTACAAATGCCTCCTACAGAATGTGGATGGCTGAGGACACCGCCAAGGGTCTTAGGCTTTTGCCTGCCCAGGCAGTCCCAGCATGCACGTCTAGTGGCTCCCTCCGGGGTTCTGCTGGGGCACGCGAGGCATACACACAGGATCTCTAAGCAAAGGATATCAGGGTACCAGGGAGCCCAGGACCTACTCTGCCAGGCACGGATCCCAATAAGCCCCAGAAGCAGCCCTTGGCTCCTCATGCAGGGCAGCACAAGGGTGCCTGGCCTCCGGGTCTGGGGCATCCCTTCCTGGGCAGGTTCAGGTCCATCTTCTCACCTGACCACACAGACAGGAGAGCAGCTAGGTGGTGAGCCCACCCCACCCAGGGCAGGCCAAAGTGCACTGGGGCTTCCCAACCCACCAGAGTGGAGCCAGAGGGGCAGGAGGAGGGAGCTGGGAACCAGGCCCACCTCTCCCTTCCCCCTCTTGAAAGCTCTGCCTGGCACAGAGGCAGCTCCAGTTACAGCCCAGAAACCTAGAGAGGCTGGCCTGGGGGGTCACGTGGACAGCAGGAGCCCTCTCTGCCTCCTCCCACGGCTGCAACCCAAGCCTCCCTACAGCTCTGCATGCCAGACAGGACACTCCATGCCTGCCTTGGGCCATCTTCCCCTTCACGCTCTGCTCCTGCCACTTCCTGGGCCAGGAGAAAGGGACCCAGCCCCAGGCCCAGCCAGTCCCTGCTGGCCAGAGATGCCAGACTTCCACACAGATCAGCCCCCTCCTGGACTCTTCCTCTCCTCCCAGACCCAGCCGACCTCAGTGCCTGAAGCTGTCCTGTGGCATGTTGCTGGGCATGGACCCCTTCTAGCACTGCCCCCTTCCTCCTGCCTGTCCGACTGGCACCAGGCCTAAACCCTCCAGGACCCCAGTCCGTCAAGCAGAGCTCTGGCTCTCACACCTGACCCCCGGCAGAGCCAGCTGTACCCTGGGCAGGACATCTGCCTCCTATGCTCCCCAAAGGCAGGATTTGGGAAGCCTCACTTGGTGGAGCCATTGGGGACAAAATGCAGGGGAAGGGGGCTGGCCAGAAGAGCCCCCGGGGTGCCAAGCCCCCCCCTCCAAGTGCCCGCACCCACTGGGACTTCCTCGGGTGTGGGCCCTAACACACACATAGAAACAGCAGAGCTCAACCACTTTCCCAGAAGCAAGGCGAGCAGGAAGCAGAGAAAGCGGGCTGTTGCCAGGACTAGACCTCCCCTCCCCGCAGTGGATCTATCTTCTAGTCAGAGTAGTGCCACCGGGGTGTACGCAGACCCCAGGCCATGGAGAACAAGCAGGCGCAGCTGGCTGACAGGCCACCATGACTCACCATGGACCTGCGGCCAGGCGGCCATCCCCTGACCCTCCCTATACCCAGGAGGGCAAGGGGAAGGCTTGCACAGATGGTGAGCAGGGGCGTGCCTGCCAGTCTCTGCGCCCAGGGCCCCAGGCAGGGCCAGGCCCCAGCTGGAGCCAGGAGAGGGCTGCTGGTGGGGTCCCCAGAGGGAGGTAACACTGGGCTGACCCTGGAAGACGACCCAGGAGAAAGAAACAGAAGGAGAAAGGGGGAAAGAAAAACACAAAGGGAAAGTTTCCCATGAAAATATTTTATTTTCTTTGAGAACAGGATACACCTGCAGGGCTCCGCGCCCGGTCGGCCTCTCCCCGCCTGGCGGTGCCACATTTCTGGACCGACGGGGCCCTCTGCCGGCCAGGCCGCCGCGCGCCCCAGGCCAGGGGCGAGGGAACAGGTGACGGCAAAGGGCGGCGGCCGCGAGTGCCCAGGGCGGGCCGGGCGCGGGGGTGGGCCCGGTCCAGGGTGGAGCCTGGGGGCGGGGAGGCCGTGGTGGGCCGGGGCCGCGAGCGCGGTGCCACCCCAACCCTGGAAGGCCCACCCGCAGGTTCCCCAACCGCAAGGGTTGCCAAAGGTCGTGGGCTGGACATCCCAGGTCTGGGAGAGAGGGACGGGGAGGTGTTGGAGGGAACGGCGGGGACGACGCGTCGAAACCACAGGCCGCCGCTGCGGAGAAGCGCGGGGCGGTGACTCACTGGACGGCGGGAGGCGGCACTCACCTCCCAGCCCGCTCACCGGCTCGGGTCCCCCAGACGCGCGCCCGCGGGCCAGGCCGGAGCGAGCGGCAGGAGCAAAGCGCAAGAAAAATAAATTCCTCCAGCTTGAGGCTTTTTCGGCCCCTCCTTTGGGGCTCAATGCGAGGAACATCTGGATTTTGTACGTATTTTTTGCTGTTGTTGTTAAATTAACTTCTCAAGGAGAGAAGGAGGGTCGGGGGTAAGCTGCAAGGGGCTGAGTGGCCAGGGGCCAGGGGGCTCCAGCGTTTGTCAAGAGTCGGCGGCGACGGGGAGCAGGACCAGCGCTTGGCCCCAGGCTCAGGGGCGCCCTGCGTCCGGGCGCGGCAGCCGTGACGACGACCCCAGGGTCACGGAGGACCGCGGCGCCGTGCCAGCCCGTCGGGCACGCCGGCCCTCTCCGCGCCGCGCCGCGGGGACACCGACTCGCGGGCCGAGCGACGCGCGCGCCGCAAACAAACAGCGCCCGGCACCCCGGCGGCCCCGCCGGCCGGCCCGGCCGCGCACCTGGGCCGCCAGCCCGCCCCGCGCCCACCCCCGGCCCCCGCGCCCGCCGGGCCGCAGCCACCTACCCGAAGTAGGCGGCCGAGGGGCGCAGCGCGGCGAGCAGCAGCGTCAGGGCGAAGGCCGCGGCCAGCCAGCGCGCCAGCAGGGGCCCATCCAGCATCTTGCCGCACCGCGGCGGCTGACCATCGCGCTCCCGGCCCGCGCAGGGCGCCCCGCGGCCGCCGCCCTCTTATAGCGCCCGGAGCGCCAGGCCGGGGGCGGGGCGCCGGCCAGCTGGGCCCGGCCCGCCCGCGCCCGGGGAGGGGTCACGCCGGCGCCGGGGGCGGGCCGAAACCCGAGCCGAGCGCCCGCCCCACCGCGCCGCCGCCCGGCTCCGCAGCTCCGGGGGCGCCGCCCGCGAGTGGGGAGGGGGCGCGCGAGGGCGGCGGGGGCGGGGCGCGCGGGGCGGGGTCTCGGTGTCCTCGTCAGCCCCGAGTCGGAGCGCGCGCTCGCTCCCGGAGAGCCGGCTTGCCCGCAGGTGATGCCCACGAGCCGGGCGAAGCTGGACCGAGGGGGCAGCAAGGCTGGAGGGGCGCCGCCGCCTTTTTGTTGGCCCGGCCAGCTGAGGTTGCGGAACAAGTCGCTCAACCTTCTGCGGTCTCCGTCTCCCTGTCCTTAAATCTAGGGAGTGCCCTGGAGGCGGAGACCACTGGCAGCGCTGCTCCAGGGAACCCCCCTTCCCGGAGGCTCTACACAGCGCGGACTGGCTGCGGTGCTCCGGGGCGCGCAAGGGGGCCTGGCGCGGCCAGAGGCACCAGGAGCGATGGGACTTGGAGGACAGAGGCACACAGCCACTGCTGAAGCACGGTGGTGTCAGAGAACCCCAGGCCTAAAAAAACCAGACACACAATTTACCAGTCTTGGGCTAGGCGACAAGGGCCCAGGGGACCTCTGGGACTGCAGGGGAGAGCCCAGCCCCTGTCAGCCCTCTCAACTTGGGAAGCTTCTGGACAGAGACCCCAGGGTGTAGGGGTCTGAGCACCTCTGAAGACTGGGCATGGTGAGCTCTGAGAACCTGCCACTAAGTGACCTGTCTTGGAACTGTGATCAGAGGTAAAGCTGGGTGGCAAAAAATGCCTCCCCACAGTGACCTCCGGAGCACTCGACACCCCTTGGGCCCCCTCCTCTCTGGGAAGACCACCCAGATGAGCACACCCCCTCCACCTTGGGGAAATTCCTGAGACTGGCCGGTGAGGGGTGGCAGGGAGGACATGGGGCTTTGGGCACATCCCTTCTTTCTGCGCCTCAGTTTCACTGTCTGAGACCTATCCGAGTGCAGGGAGTCAGGCCTTTTCTAAGTTGTGAGGCCACTGTGGAAGCCCCCACCCAGGGTTCTGCCTCTCCATGGATGTGTCTGGCCTCGTGTCATTCCTACTCCAAGAACCCCTCCAGTGGGAGGGGGCTCTCCCTTGCCCTCCTCAGCTCATGTGCCGCTCCACACCGACAGGACTGGCCCAGCAAAGAGAGTCTGGCCGCAGGTGGCCCTGGCCCACCCAGGCTGTGGATCAGGGTGCCTTGCTCTCCCCACCACAGCGGCCTCCTCAGCGCTCAGGGCCTCCACCTGAGGCCTGGCCCCACACCCGGGAACTGTGAGGCGTGGGGTGGGGGCATGCAGAGTGATGACATGTTTAAAAGCAGGGAGATTGTGCCCAAGAAAAATGAAGTGTGAGATTGTAAACATGCATCTGGAAGGCACTGCAGGCATGACAGAGGTCCTGGGGGAGCAGGCAGTTCTCTTGTCCGCCGACCAGTGAGTCCCAAGTCAGCAGGCAGCCGGCGGAGGTCCCAGCCCAGAACATGGGGCAGCGGCTGTTGTGGGGAGCTGGAAAGGATGAGGGTCTGTGCCTCAGGCTTTGCCTTCCTGGGGCTTCGGCTCACAGCAGGCCTGCCCTGAATGGCCCTACCACACCCCAAGTCAAGTCTCAGCTAAGCCACCACAGGTGTCAGCAGGGGAGGGCCTCCAGAGACCCTGTCAGTCTGGGCCTGCAGGAGGACCGTGCCACGGGGGGCCCAGCACGCTGCAGGGTGATGGTGGGGAGCTGTGGACAGGGAGAGGGAACCTGTGTCCAGGGTCCAGTTGGGGTGGGAGTGGCTGGTGCACCACTTCCTTCTGCTGCCATCACCCCAAGCACACCCTCAAGTCTGTGTCTTCCTGGCTGGGGGAGGAAGTTGAATGTTCATGGAAGAGTTTTGGACAGACTAGCGCCAGCTCAGTAGACCCTGCATGGTAAACTGAGGCCCAGAGAACTTGTTGGAATTAGTCATGCAAAGGACATAGCAAGCCAGGTGGAGGTGGTGGGCCAACACCTGGCCCTGGCCTGCAGCTGTGCCATCTTGCAGATAACTTTGCGGACCTCAGCATGGCACGAGGATGGGACATTTTCCAGGGAGGGCAGTCCTCTCTCGTCCAGCAAAGTGATCCCAGGTCTCTGTTGGAGAAGCGTGGGGCGAGGTTTCCCTGGCCTGGCCAGATGCACTCTGTACCCTGTCATAGCCATCCAGTCCTGCCAGGGCACAAGCCAGCCAGAACGGGACATGCAGGGCAGGAGCAGGACAGGATGGCTGCCCTGGGCATGTAGAGGGAGAGGAGTGGTCCAGGCGGGGCTGGATGTCTCTGACCTACATGGTTTCTAATGAGGATCAGGATCGGAAAACATGGTGGTGCTCTCCAAGGAGCAGAGGCACAGCTTCAAGAGGCCGGGGGGGCACCATTGATGGGTGTGTGCTCCCCAACATAGGCCCTCCCCCACAACCCAGGAAGGGAAAACACGGGCAGTGCGCTGTGAACGCTCACTGGATCCCAGACCTTTCACAAATGTCCAGCCTCATGGGGACTCCAGCCCCCAAAACTGCTGGAATCTAGCACAGTGATGGTTCCTGAGCGGGTACCCAGCTGAGCAGAAGGGCTGCCTGGGCCTCAGCAGAACAGCAGACCCCTGCAAAGTCAGGGTACCAGCAGGACCTCAGGGCCCTGGATGCAGTGAAGGGGGCCCTCAACTGTTATTCAGGGATCTCCTCCCCAGGCCAGAGACAGGGACAGAGAGACAGAGAGGCAGAGGAGTCAGAAGACAGGAGAGGCCCCCTGCACAGCTGACACCACCCACTCCTCAGCCCTCCCTCAGACCTCAGTTTCCCATTCAACATCTTGATGAGGCTGAGGCTTTGGGAGGCCCCCGGGAGTCCGTGTTGCTGGCTGCTGCTTGGAGGAGACAGGGTGTGGGCTCGGTTCTCCCGGAGGTCTGGGA